GCTCTACTGCTGAGCCACAACCCCAGCCCCTCCCCAGCCCTTTTTGAATTTTATTTAGAGACAGGTTCGTGCTAAGTTGTTTAGGGCCTTGCTAAATTACCGGGGCTGGCTTTGAATTTGTGATTCTCTTGCCTCAGCCTCCGGAACTGCTGGGATTATAGAAGTGTGCCACTGCACCTAGCAAAGCTTTTAGTTTGATTTTGGGGCATTTGGCCTGCGCGATTCCCTTTTGGTCTGGTCTGGTATGTTGGAGCCTAGTGCAGAAGTGCAATCCAAAACCATGTGTTTCCATCAATTTCAAATTCCCAAATCAATGCAGCACTTAACATCCACTTGTGACCTTTCTTAGTTGATTTGGGCTGCTATGATAAAGGTGTCATAGACTGGAGAGTTTAAACAACAGATGTTTATTTCTCTTCTGGAGGTTGGGAAGTTAAAGATCGGGGTGCCAGCAGACCCAGTGTCTGGTGAGCACCCACTTTCTGGTTTGCAGACCCTGCCTGTTCTTTGTGCCCTTACGTGACAGACAGCAGAAAGAGGACAAGATCTGGTGTCTCTTTCATAAAGACCCTAATCTCATCACAAGGGCTCCATCCTCATGACCTAAAAACCTTCCAAAGGCACCTCTAAGTACCATCACATTGGGGGTTGGGCTGTTCAACATACAAATTTTGGGGGCGGGGGGACATGTACGATCAGTTCACAGCCTTACCTTCCTACGTCCAGCCCTCTGGTTGAAGGCTGGGAATTTTTTAATGTCCAGAAGGCCATTGTTTTAGTCAGATTTTTAGCTGCTGTCACCAAAAGATCTGACAAGAACAATTAGAGACATAAAAGTTTATTTGGCTCATGGTTTCAGAGGTCTCAGTCCATAAACGGCCAACTCCATTGCTCTGGGCCCAGGTGAGGCAGAGCATCATGGAGAAAGGTGTGATGGAGGAAGCAGCTCAGGACCTGGGTACCAGAAGCAGAGAAAAGCTCCGTTTTCCAGGGACAGAATATAAACCCCAAAGGCACACCCCTGGTGACCTACCTCTTCCAGCCACACTCTTTCAGCCTATCATTACCACCCAGTTAATCCCTATCAGAGCACTAATGCACTGAAGGCTCACATAACCCAATCATTTCACCTCTAAACTTTCTTGCATTGTCTCACATGAGCTTTTGGGGGGACACCTCATATCTAAGCCATAACAGCTGTTACTCCCGAGGGGACTTACAAACTTGTTGATTATGGGAAGAAGGAAGGTAATTGGCAGAGTCCTCTAAGAATACCAGGCTAAGGGGAGGGGTGTCGACTGTTTTCATTTGTTTTCCAGGAGCAGCAATTACATATCCCACAGTAAATCTAGTTATAACTTAGTTTTACCTTATTTGGCATACAAAGGGACAGGGTCCCTCTTGTCTCTAGAGGCACAGATATTGAAAAGATATGCAGACTTCTTAAAGGGGCTTTAAGTAAAGAATGTGCAGGTGTTTCTCTTCTTCCTTGTGAGATGTGTAAATCTTTCAGGATGGGGTGGGGCTAGCTTGACATACTTGTGACAAGGCTGTGAGCCCCAAATAAATATTTTCCCATAAAACTAGGAATTGCATTTAGGAGCAGTTAACTCTCAGGCCCAGAACAACCTGGACAAAGCATACAGTTTGGAAGGATCTGAGTTACACTGAAAGTAGATCTCAGAATGAGACTATAACTTTGGCTCATTCAATTTCATCCCTTTCCCTAACCTGATCTTACCCAGGCTAATGTGGGGTGGTGGAAGGGAAGTGAGGCACTGGGGCCAGAAAAGTGCTGTTCTTATTTGGAACCACATGAATCTACTCCATGTAGGAGGCAAAGCAGTTGAAAACAGCATTAAAATAGGCCTCTGGATGCTGGGTGTGTCCCAGGATTACCACAGGCCTGGTATCGGTGGCATTTCCTCCACACTCAGTGACATGGGATTCTCCTGCATCTCTCAGTCTCAGAGGAGAGTACAGAACCCTGATGTCCTTTGTGGCTTTGCACTGAGGAGCTGGTGGTCCTGTCTTCATTCTATGATTGGGAGACTGGCTGGAGGTGGTCATGTGGGTTCATGGAGCCACCCATGGTCCTGGTCTGAGGAGGAGGAGAGTGAAACCACAATTATGTCTGTAGTGGGGTGCTGAGGTCCTGCTGTGCATGTAGGGCATCCAAGTCAGGGTGGAGGCAAGTGCACACATTGTGGGTTTCAGTGGAAGGTAAACAGGCTGAATATCCAGAGAACATTAGAGAGATCCCAGCCTCCAAAGATGGGGCTACTGAGCACGGCTACGTGTTCACCTGTCCTTACATAGACTTGCATGGGTCAGATGGGGCCCTGCAAAGGCCCTAGGAGCAGAATCTGCTGGAGCAGGTGTAGGAAGCATTGTGACCGGGGCTCACCAGGGACCTTGGGAAGGAGAAAGGAGGCCTTCCAGGTGCAGTTCTGGTGATGCAGGTCTCACAGCACACTGGTTTGCTCCAGATCCTCAAGGTAATATGAGCTCTCACTCTTGCTGCTCCTTTTTGGAGAAGACAACCTTGAGCAGAAAAGTCTACTTAATTCTATCTTTCAGTGAGCTTGCTCTTTTTTTTTTTCTTTTCATGTCAGGTGGGTAATGTGCCAATGTGGTAGGTTTGAGGGAGGTGTTTCCCAGACAACTGTGGGCAAACCCAATCCCCATGCTTGTGAACCACAAAAGGATCAGGGTTATTTTTAAAAATTTGTATCACTTTCCTAAGGCGTTAGGGTTCAGCTTTGTAGATCAGAGCTTTGTAACCAAGCCTTCTTAAATGAGCTTAGAATGTGAAATTTCAAATGAATCGGTACGTAATAAATCGACTATGAAAATAAGCCTGTTACAGAATAAGTCCATAGCTTGTGGCTACATTATCTTTTCTTCTCCCTGACAGCACAGTGGAATGCTCCTTCAGAAAGCACTGAATTGGGTGAATTTTAATAGCTACTGCTTCTTGTGTTGAAAATTCACCAAGAACAGGCTTGTACCACCATCTCAGTAGCTTTGCTCTAAGACTCTTGAATTTTTGCCAGCAGACTTACAATTTGAATGATCAGATGAATAAATGAACTGAATACGTATGATGTACCATCTTCTTTCATACCAGCCTGAGGAGGGAGGTAGAAATGATTTTACTTTACCAATAAGAAAATAGAGGTTTGAAAAGAAGACGTTACTTAAGATCATACTGCCTGTGAGTAGTTAAATCAGAGCGAGAAGTTAGTTCTTTATTTCTGAATTGCAGATTTCTCTGCCACAGTGTTCTGCCCCCTGAAATCTACTCATCATTTATTTGGTCCTAGGCACTATGCCATTCTTTTTTTTCTTTTGCAGTGTTGGGGATTGGACCCCAGGGCCTCATGCCAGGAAAATGCTCTACCACTGAGCCATATCCCCAGCCCCAGGCCATCTATTTTCATGTTCATTATCTCATGAAACTCATATCCATTGTAACCCAATGATAGAGGAACTAATTTCATGGATGTCATAAAACTGAAGTTCAAATGTATTATGTAAACTGCCTATGGTCACACAGAGGGCAGTATCTGTACTCTCTTTAAAAGGTTTATTAATTGGAAGGGCCAGGATGGATGTCTCACTTCAGAAGGAAGGTATGTTCTTTTGATAACTGAAGCTGTAAGCCACACCAATTGCTGTAGGCTAATAGGTAGGAGGGAAATACGTAGAAAAAGGATGGAGCATGGCCTCCTAGACAACCATTTCTAATGAGATCTCTGAGCAAATTATATACACAGAGGAGAATGATTGGTAATCAAATACTTTCATTACTAATTGTCTTAGACCATCCAGACTGAGATAACTATAAATAGGATGCTGATAAACAACAGAAACTTATTGCTCATAGTTTGGGAGCTGGGAAGTCCAAGTTCAAGGTGCCAACTTTGGTGTCTGGTGTGAACGCATATCTGACTCACAGGTGGTGCCTTCTTGCTGTGTCCTTATGGTAGATGGGGCAAGGCAGCTGTCGAGGCCTCCTTCATACAAACACTAATCCCATCATAAGGTTCCTCTATTATTAGTCATTTCCCAAAGGCCCCCTTGCCTAGTATCATTATATTGGGTGATCAGGTTCCGTCATATGAATTTTGCAGGGACACAATTTGTAGCAATAACCAAAACACCTGTATAGAATGATGGCGGGCAAAGCTGGGCTGGGCAGAGATTTCCTTTTGTCTAGGTAGGAGTCAGGAGGAAGCACAGGGCTTGCTGAGGGTTAGAGCTGAGCCAGACAGATTCATGGGAGACGGAGTCAGCACAGAGAAAGAGGGGGCTTTCCAGGGGAAAAAGCTGCTGGTTCCTGATTCTGTCTGTGCAGAAGGGGGATGATTTTTGCATTTGTAACTGAATGTGTGATAGAGGTATTTTGAGTTGAAAGTATCGTTTGATTGGTTTGCATGTTGGTCTGCAAATTGAACATCGTACATGCATTGGTGTGCTTCAGGCCTGGGCCTTGTCTTGGTCTTTGGTTGCTATGACAATAATCATGTGGGTTGAAATGACTGAGGAACACTTCTCGTTTCCTGACTTCAGGCTTGGTTTAGAAAGAGGGACAACAGCTAAAGAAGCCTTAGATGTCATCGTCTCCTTGTTGGAAGAACATGGACAAGGTGGGAATTATTACGAAGATGCAAACTCCTGCCATAGCTTCCAAAGTGCGTATCTGCTTGTGGATCGAGATGAGGCCTGGGTGCTTGAGACCGTAGGGAAGTACTGGGCTGCTGAGAAAATCACAGGTGAGTGGTTTTGAGCATGTGAAAGACTGAGATGGATGTTGGCTGGACCCACAGCACCAGACCCAGAGAAATCATGCTACCATGCAGCCCCTGACTGTGCTGGCTCTTCATGCTTAAGCACACCGTTCACTCCTGGGCATCTGTTTCTGGAGATGCACCTGGGGTTTTCTGAATCTGGAGTGAAGGGATGCTGGCCCTTGGGAAGCATATTCCTAACATTTCCTATTTTCTGTTTGCTTTCTGGGCAGGAACCAATTCTGACTACAGGTTGCTGCATGACTCAATCCGTTACTCTATTGACCAGGGTGGTCATTGAGAATAGATCGACAAATCCCTTCAACGGGAAACTGACCTGAGTTTGAAGCAGCTACCGTGCCCTGTAACTGTTTGTGGTTGGAATGGTCCTCTAAAAGAAGGAGTTTGGATCTGTGAGAGGACTGTTCAGTACTACTATAGACCAATCAGGCCATTTCTCTGTGAGGCAATGATCCTAGAAGGGCAGAGAACTTGATAGTCCTCATGGAAGGATTTAGTGCTCATAAAATTGCTGCTCTGTGGCCCTGGCTCCTAAGACAGCACAGGGAAGGAAGCATTAGAGGTGGGAGTGGTGACCTTGAATCAGCACCTCAGCACTCTCATATTCTAGATGGGATTGGATCCCAGAATGGGTTAAAAGGCTCCCAAGAGTTCTGAGGATTGGCCAGTGACACACTCTTACATTCTTTAGGACAGAATGATAAATGCATAGCACATGCACTGCCACTCTTCCCACCTGTGTCCACAAAGACATGGCTAGTAGATTCCTGCATACTTCTTATTAAACCTATATTTGGCCAATGTATTTTTTTCAACTTAATTTTCCAACGAATCAGAAAAGATGTTGGGACGAAACCTATTTGCAACACTTGCCTTAGGGGTGACTGGCGCCAGATCTGACCTGAGTTAGAAGCAGATCTGGTTCAGAAACTGGAAGTCATACTTGTTTCCTGTGCACAAAGTCCAGTGATCAGGGCTTCTCTGGATGTTGGGCACATTGAACCCCATACACAGTTAGTTGCCCATGGAGGCAGAGAAATCTGGATAGTGGTTTCCTGGTCAAACTGTGTGAAGGCGGTGTCTGCCTGGATAAGGGAGTGGTGTTTTCTCATTCCCATAAGACTATTTATTGAATGGGCTAGGGGTCCCTCAGCAACCACAGGAATTTCTCCACCCCTCTCTACCTAGCATGGAACCAGCAGGTTCCCACTTTGCCCACTTTGCCCAACTCTTTCAGTATTTATAGGACAAGGATAACCTGTGTGGCCCATCAGGTCTCCATCTTTCCCACAGTGCAGGAACCTCACCTCACACTCCTTTCTTTAATGTTTTTAGTTGTATATGGACACAATAACTTTATTCTGTTTATTTAGTATTTTTTTTATATGTGGTATTGGGGACTGAAC